TTACTGCCCACAGTCTCTTTGGTTTGGACCGCTATACAGGACAGATCAGAACACTTCGCTCATTCACAGAGACGGACGAGGCTGAGCATAAACTGCTCATACTGGTGAAAGACAATGGCAACGTTTCCCTGTCAGCAACAGCTACTGTGGTTGTTAAACTTGTGGAGCCCAGAGAGGCTTTTGCTGCTGCTGATGTTAAAAGTGCAACAAAGGATGATGAGGATAATAATGTGACTTTTTACCTGATGATAACTTTGGGCTCAGTCTCAACACTTTTTCTCATCAGTATCATCGTGCTGATTGCAATGCAGTGCTCTAAGTCCACAGACTATACTTCTAAATATCTACAAGAGACTAACTATGATGGGACACTGTGTCACAGCATCCAGTACAGATCTGGAGACAAGCGCTACATGTTAGTTGGACCCAGAATGAGTATAGGATCAACTATAGTCCCGGGCAGCCATGCCAACACACTGGTGCTCCCTGACAGGAGGGGAACATCTACAGAGGTAAGACCAAATATATTTTACGTTAAGTTATTATTTTCCTGTATATTATAGTAACCTTTTCCTTAGAAGTCGTGGCGTTGTTGTGAAATAGTGGTCAAAGCAGTTATTAAAAAAAGAAGATAATCTGCAAAAGTAAAGCACCCTTTTTTGTGACACTGAAGACACGGTTGCTTTCTTGAACAAGAGAACAACATCTTTCCCATCTTCCTTTTCTCCTTAACAAAATGAATACCTCTCAACGGTTTTGTTGTGTCTGTTCAGTATTTCATTACATCACACTTCTTCAGAACTTTGCTGTGAATTGACCAACTTAGACCCATCATAATTTGAGCTGTCATTTGTCCGTTTCAGGCCGCGTGTAGTTGTGTAATAATAGGTCATAAACTGGCCATGAAGCAGAGAAGCATCGTTTCATTGAGGTAGTGGTTTAACCTGGTGAAATAGGGAAAGGTTCATTTAAAAAAGGGAAGTTTCAAATTGTTCCAGTAACTACTGGGCCTTTGTGTTAACTTTCATTTGGAATCATAATATGGTTTGAGTCATACATGATGTATCTCTAATCCCTCAATTGAAAAATACACTATTCAGCCACATACATTTTTCAGGAGGGGTAAATAAATGATGTCTGATTCCACAGAAATGTATGTTTTTGTTGACTAACTAGTTACTGGAGGTCTGTGCTGGCTGATGTAGTGTAGGTGATTCAATGGTCCATGAATGGCTGCAGCTAAGACAGCCAGAGGGGGAGAGAGGGAGCCTGCAGCTGGTGTGTGGTGAATCACAATGTACAGCCTGTCAGGTGGGGCGTGCTCACTTTGCTTCAGCAGGGATCTTCAATCCTACAGTACTCCAAGTATAGACCACTATATGTTGAAATAATATGAATCTGATTGGCTTGTTGTGCTTTGGTCTTAAAGAATACAAGGCAGTGATGTATAAGTGTGTGCACCGTTCATATTATACACATCAGCTTCACCCTTTGTCTGACAAAAAAATAGGTCATATTTCACCACACGTGTGTAGGTCTGCATGCTCGGCTTCTGGGCTGATTATATGCCGAACACAGTGCGTTGCCCATAGCAACACATGAGGAGATCCACCTCTACTGGTTTCCACAGAGTAGCATGCGCTCAGTGGTCTTAGCAACAGCAGCAAAAGAGGATGAGGGAGGGAGGGAGGGAAAGAGAGAGCAGTAGAGGTGGGGGAGGGGAAGTGGCTTTTCTACGGCTAATCTATAGACATCTCACAATATTTAATGAAAATGGGTTTATTTAGATAGAAACACATGGATTATAACAGTTAAATCTCCATTGTAAATCATGCAACAGATGGGGAAGATATCGAAGCAATAGGGAAGGCGGGAATATTTGAGCTTCTAATTAGATATTTTATAGTGAGGAGATAATCTGTTCTCTCAACAACTGGGTCAACCTTAGCTTTCCTACATAGAAAATGACTGTATGAAGAACAATTCAATTAACAAATCAAAGTTGGCTCTGTTGAAAGCTACTGGAATATTTTGACACCCTTTGACATAAAGATGAAAGTGGACTATGAATGCAGGAAAGGAGAGGATGAATTCAGATTGAGTGTAAGGCAGCAGCTCGGCTGGAGTAGAGCCTAAACACACTTCTGCTGCATGTGTGGAAGTGTGCATATTTTGTGTGCCCATGTGTGTGTGTGAGATAAAACTGTGTGTTTTGCAAAATAGCGGCAGTGCTAAGCTGTGCCTGGACAGCAGATGCCCCGAAAAGATTGATTGAATTGTAATTAAACATGAGTGCATTCCATTACACCTAAAAAGTACAGGGTGATGTCAGTGGAGGACATTGGTGAGCTCTGGTTAAACTGTGAGTAGAACAATGTCCTACTGAATTATGTATCACTGCAATGTTGTTACTTTATCATGGCATTTTGGGGGAGAATGGATGATTTACAACCAGGGTCACGAGTTGCATTCAGATACAAGCACATGTGCTGCGCTTTAGTCTGATAAATCAACACATGCATATCGTTGTTTGCCCTGTTGACAACGTGCAGATCCGCACAAGTGTCAAGCAAGCGGCTCCATTTTAAAATGTACTTCTGATGTTTGTAATTTCTGAACCTGATATAAAACATTTAAGCAGACTAAACTGAAAGGAGCATTTATCTCAAGTAATATATTCATCCTAGTACAACGCCATCATTGTATATTCCTACTATTTTTACTCTGCATGCTCTCTTCAGCGGGGGTGTGGCTGCTTGCTCCAGTGCCTTTGTCAGTGTGCTCGGCTGGATTTGAAGATCTGTGCAATTGTGTTTGCATGCTGAGTGTCTGCACTGAAAATCATTCACAGTGCAATGAACCTTGTGTTATGTGTGTCTGTGTATGTTGTCTTTGTTAAGTGATTGAGAACATTTCCCTCATATTCAGAGTCAGAGGGAGAGAGCAAGAAAACCAGCTAAATGTTAAAGGAGAGAGGACGCAGCTGTTACAAATTGTATACTGTAATGTCAACAACTTGACATCTGCATTAACCTGGATTATATGTAAACTTTCCAAATGTGTTGACTTCGATTCTAGAACTATTTCTACTTTTCATTTGTTTGTCTTTCTTTCTCTCCCCTACAAACATAATTTAGGCTTTCTTTGGTTAGAAACTCCAATATGAATGTCCCTCTCTGAGAGATCTTGCATTGTAGTACACACTGTTCTATTGTGCCTCTATCTCTGTTCTGTTTTAGGCAGAAGCTTTTCCTTTTTTCGTCTATGTCTCCTCACTATTTCTCTCCTCCTTCTTTACCCTCCATGTTAATATCACCCTCAGTTTTTGCCCCTCCCCCCTCCCACTCTTGGCCTAATTGTCTCACTTTTATATCTCTGTCCTTCGTTTACTCTTTCACATATGCTATCCTTTCATGTCCCCCTATCGTCTTTTGTCTCTTTCTTCCAGTCTCTCCCCTCTCTGGTTCTGCCACATGCTTTCTAGCTCTATGTTGCTGTGCCTCATGCCTGTAGGGTAGTGGCTGTGGATGCTGCATGCTGTTGTGTGTCAGTAGGGCATATTCTCTCTTATTGCTCCAGCTTTGTTGAAGGATGGCACAACTCACATTGAGGTCAGCAGCAGTGATGGTAATCAAATGTATATACACACACACACACACACACACACACACACACACACACACACACACACACACACACACACACACACACACACACAGACACACAGTAGTGCACAGCAAAAACATGCTACTATCGTTATGTTCACAGTTCACACGTGTACGCTTGTGCTCAGAGACACATGCTCACAACAACACATCACACTTACTCACAAATGCCTAATCCACTTTATTGAAGGGCACTTTCACAGAAGAAAGGGGGCTGGGAGAAAATAGAGCACAAGCAGAGCATGCTCCCTTGGTGATATAGTGACTCGCAGAGAGAAAGAAACACGCATCCACTGTGAGACATTTACCATGTTAAAATCAGATGCCCTGCCTGGTCTGAACATGTTTCTTAGGATACCATATCTCTATCATTTTAGTCATTATTCTGAATGATGTTTTAAAAAGGGGAAGATGTACCAAAAAGCATCTTTCTCAACACATTGTATCCATCACAGACCAAACTGTCCCCATAAACACAAGACAAAGTACAAAGCTCCCACGTTAAATAATGCTACCAGACCCATGTCACACTAACTGATGTTCAATACTGCAGTAACTATATGCTGTCTGTATACTACATTAAATTAATGCATGGTTAAAGATGCTAGTTTGAACTATGTTATTAAGTAGCACCTTTCTCCCTACTGTTGTATTTTGCAAACTTCTAGTCACCGACCTCTCATTGTGTGAAATTTCACACAAATGTGTAATTGTCCACATACATGTCGTTCATGTGCAAACGGGGAGAGAAGTAAAGGAAATCTATAGACTACACCTTTTAGATATACATTTAAGTAAACATTTTTAAAGCAAATACATTTTGTTTAAGTCATCCTAAAGAACAAAACATAAAAAACAAAATTGAAAGGAAAATTACAGCAGACTAGGCTAAAAAGAAAAGTGTTGAGGTGGTCTGGTCATTGTGTCCTTTGTTATTCACTAATATTAACACCCAGGTAACCATACTGCGTTAACTCAGAGTGCTAGTAAGAATGGCTGTGAGTATTGTGACCAGAGCGTTATTTTTTACAAATTAAGATGAAGAGGCTCTTCAGATGGAAGAAGGGAGATGGTATATCAAGTTTGGTTGTTGACTTTTATCATGGCATTATGTTGACAAGTTCAATAAATACCTGCTGTTTTAGGTCATATTGTATTGTGTTAGATAAGCGGCATATTGTCCAGATTCTGCTGAACATTTTGTTATCTGGACTGATACTGTGCCTGATTGTGTGTGTGTCTGTCAGCTTTTCTACTTTGCAGACCTTTCAGGTGAATCAGGAGGTTGTTAATGTGAATGTCAGCAAGCAGGCACTGCAGCAGCGCAGCTTATAGTATTTGGTCAATAAAGTGTTTGTACATCACCGTGTGGTGCTCTGCTTTGAAGGCAGAGTTGCAGAGAACGGTAGGGCAAAGTAAAACCTCTCTTTCTATATCAAGTTAAACTGTAAACTACTATTTATTTGTGTTAAAAAATTATGTATTCTGGGCCTTGAACTTTAAGTCTGATTTATCCACATCTTTAAATCCTGTGCTTTTCTGTGAATTGATGCCAGTTTTATCTGTAATGCACTGCATGCAGATCTAGTCCTTTTTGCCTCTGGATTAAAAGGGCAATATCAGAGTCAGAAAGCAAAACATGTCTTTTTGGGCTGATGGAACAACTGTGGGCCAAGACTCCCTGGCAATGCTCCTTTTGCTCTTGTCATTAGAACATGCCATGTGTGGCCCAGGCTAGTCCCTGCAGTATATGGGTCAAACAGCCTCTTTCATCCTGACTCATACATTTCATTTTTTTTTTAACTTATTTTGTGTCTGTGTCTATCTATTTGCATGATAGCAAAATGTAAGGACACAAATAGTATGTATTTGTAATTATTCTTCTGTCTCGCTCCTATTTCTTTCAAGCCTGATCTCGTGTGGGAATAGGGCTGACCCCTTTCTCCTCTCCACCACTCGGTTATATAAACCCTCAGTTTCATTACGTCTCAGTGCATTGACTCATGGCGTGGTGAGTCCTTTAGGTTGGACCTTGACACTCACATTAGAATCACTTCACTGCAGCCAAATCAAGGCTTTTCTCCAGGGTGCTAACAACATCTTCCTATATCAGCAATCATATGTATCTCTAATAATTAGAACCAAGGTGCGCTCACTTTTTTCAAGTTTCATTTTAAATGCCAGATGACATGAGCTTAGCTCAAGGTGCTGCATTATGCCAATCTACTCACTTGTTTTATTTTTGAATGAACACATCTCTTAATAATGTAGTCATTTACCAGAAATAATATTAATACAATGAAAGCTTATAGAAACAGGTAAGCCTAGCTATACATGTCTGTCTGATGTAATAACCAGTGCTTGATAGTTAGGCCTGTGCAAAGATTAAATGTTTTTTTTTGTCTTTTTTTTTTTTTTGAATCAACAGAGATCAGAACAGATGTAGGTCTGCACTTGTTTGGCATCGGTGCTCATACAGCCACAACATCTGCTGCTGTGCTTAGGTCATCAGCGCTTGCCTGGAGGATTGAACAGAGTGAGCAGCCATTGCAAGGCTGCAAGCAAGACAGACTGCTATTAAGTGGAAAACAAGTGAGGACCCAGTTGTTTGAAAATCCCCTTAAAGGTCACACTGATGAGAACCTAAAAGCATCCTAAGTCCTGAGATCTAGATTTATGTAGGGGATTGTGATCTCTGATTGATAACATCTATTAATGGGTGAGGGAAATCCAGATCAGCAGTTTAGACATTGGATGCAGTCTACGTAAGAGGATTGTCTTCTTACAGCAGTATCCTGCACCGCTCACTGTGGAGTAGAGGGGGTATAAGGCCACAGTTGCCATACATATGTCTGCTTAAATACCGTATGTTGTATTTATTACTGGCAATGCATGGATGGGATCAGATGTTAGCTATTAAATGTATCCAGTCTCTAACGGCAGGCCTCCTCATCCCCCGGTGACCTTTTACCCCCAGACTAATGCCCGTATTAAGCATCTTGTGTAATTTCCTCACCTTGTTTTAAGCTGAATTGTATTTCTCTGAACGTTGCACGTTTCTGTTTATAAATCTTAATAGTGTTTGTTTAGTTACAAGTCTTTTTAAAAAAAAACAATAATGTCTGAAAACTGCTGAACAACTTGATATTTATTTCCAAGTATGTTGAATTAGTTATATACGTGTTCATCAAGTGGCCTGGTTTTGTAGTATGATTAATAAACCATGAAAACATTGTCAGCGTTGTATTCACAAAAATATAAATGTGTTGATCTGTGGTCTTGATTGTTCTAGTATGTTTCAATAGTTGTATATAGAGAGATCTGGTCTGAGCATAACTTGCCTATGAGAGCTAACACTGATATGTATTTCATGTAAAGAGCACATTGCTTCTGTAGGTTCAACATAACTGAACATGTGGGGGTTTCAGCAATTGCATGACCCTGTAGCAAGATTGTACAACAAGGCAGTTTAATAAAAGCAATGATATGCATTTCAAATGAAATGCAAAAGCATAAATATGTGGTCAGTATTGTATTTATATAAGTCACAGTGTGTGTTCAAGTGATATTGATACTGTTATGTAAAGGGAAGCCTGTTTTTAACACAAACTAAAGCTATAGCCTGAAATGTCTTATCTGTTTTCTCCTTATTTAAAAAAATTGTCTGAACATCATTTGGCTCCTTCTGGTCATATTTTTGAGTGAGCACCAATGAGCTGTTATGTACAGTGGGTGAGTCATCTCATCCCACATGTAGCTTTTCATTTTGTGAAGTTGGTCTGCTGTGTTTATTTTTAAAATGAACCATCTGCCATGCAAACATGAAATCAGGAATTTTGGCAGTTAGTGTCATTGCTAAAATGCTGTCATGATATTAGGGAGATTTGTTTCTGTGATGCCCTGTAGCCACACACACTTGCGTTCTGTACGAGGATGTTTACACGTGTGCCGATAGCTAAGTGTTCTTCCACGTTTCCCGCCATCTTATCTAGTGGGTGTGTAGAGTATGAAAAACAATGAGACATGGGTGTGGAAGATGTGTGTTAGTGCTGTACGCCTGACTCATATCCCACTCTCTCCTCCCTCCGTCTTCCTCTGCCTTTGTTCCCATTATCACTTCCACACTCTCATCCAGTCTAGTGTGCAGTCCTTCTCATCTTCACCTTTAATTAACTCCTTTTCATTTGCTGGTTTCTTTTTATTTTCATATATCTTCTTCGAGCTCATTTTTACACAAAGAATATTTCTCAGATTTTCTCCATCCCTCCCCTCCTCCACCCTGATCTCCTCCAGCTGGTACTCTCTCTTATGCCCCCTCCTGTCTCTTCACGTAATAACATTTTGATAGAAAATGGCTGACGTCTTGTGGAGGCTGTGTTACTCTACCCCACGTTCTCTCGGACATCTCTTTTTCATCTAGGTCTTTAAGTCTTAGTTTGGTTACTAATTGCTATTGGAAAACAGCATTGTCCGTTATTCTTTATTCCATCATGCTTCCTCCCTTCTCATCTCTCTTTCTGACCACAGAGACAGCCTCTCCTCTCCACACTACCCCCTCTCTCAGTAGAAACTGGAGCTATGGGTAGAGATGAATATGTTAGAGCACCTTTCTCTCTCTCAACCTTGAAACTTCAAACAAAAGTCGAGGGAATGGCCAAAACTAAAATATCTGGCTCATCACAGCCTCAGGCCTAGAGCAAAAGATGAAGGTGAACCTATTCCCTCTAATTGTAAGTGTGTGTGTCCTGTATTAATATTGTTTTTTAACTGAATTGACAGAACAATTGTGAAGGGCTACTTCATATATGCAGCGTGAGAACTGTCAGAGATACTGAAAGCCATGGCCTTATCAAAGATATTCAATGATGTTATCAAAATAGGCTTTTAATAATAATAATAGATTACATTTGTAATGCGCCTTTCAAGAGACCCAAGGCCGCTTTACATGGTGAACAAACAAACAAACAAAGGGGGCAAATAATAATGTAATAAATAGCAGTAGGAGTGGAAGCAGGGGGACTGTGATGGGTTAGGGGTCAAAGGCCATGGTGAACAGGTGAGTCTTTAATGATGACTTGAAGATATCCAGGGAAGCAGCATTGCGGATCTCTGCAGGAAGCGCATTCCAGATGGGGGGGGGGCCGCAACACTGAACGCCCAGTTCAGTGTTGGAGGCGAGAGCGGGGGATGGAGAGCAGGCCCGTGTCTGAGGACCGCAGACTCCAAGAAGGGGTTGGCGACGCTTGCGGCTACACAGTTCAGAGCGGAGCAGGCTAGCTGCAGAGCATAGTCCAAAGCGCGATGTAGGGATGGAGGAGGTCCGATAAGTACTGGGGGGCGAGGGCATGGAGAGACTTGTAAGTGAGGAGGAGTGTTTTGTACTGAATCCGGGATTTGACCGGCAGCCAGTGAAGGTGGATGAGGGTGGGGGTGATGTGTTGCCAGGGCTTGGTGCGGGTGAGAAGCCTGGCGGCAGAGTTCTGGACGTATTGGAGCCAGGGCTTTGTTAGGAACCCCGGACAGGACTCCATTGCAATGGTCGAGGCGGGAGGTGATGGAAGCGTGTATTAAATGTTTTTGAGGTGGTAGAAAGCCGATTTGGTGACAGATTTGATGTGCGCCTGGAAGGAGAGGGTGGCGTCCAGGATGACTTCAACTGGTCTATTGTTTTTTAATACCATAGGTTTCAATATTGCCTCTCAACTTTTCTTTTATTTGAACCTATGCTCTATGCACTGAGCAATTAAGGTCATTTTGCACCATATGTACTATATGATACATGTTGTTGTGTATGAGTCTTTATTGAGGGTGTGCATTTCATCAGGTCTCATTGAAAGATAAGGCTCTACTCCTGGATCCTGGTGTGCAGCCTTGTGCCTAATGTATAGGTTTGGTGTGTGTGTATGAGAGAGTTGCACTACCAGTCAAGTGACAATTACACATGATTTTTTACAGAGTATCAGTTATAAAGTAAATATAGTTAGAATTGATATATAATTAGTGCCTTTTGGGGATTTGAGTAAAATCATATAGCCTTATATATAACGTATATGTAATCTGATTTAAGGTAATCTCCAAATGTCAGGGTATGATGTTTTTGGTTGAACTACAAATCACACTTGTTTATTTCAGATGATGACATTTTAGTCTTACAATTGCATTTGATACTCTTAGACTGTAGTTAGCCGCCCATAATAGTTTCATACTTGCAGAGTCAGGGTATTAGAGGATGAGAACATGCTTAATTGCATACTTAGTTTTGCAGATTTGTAAATGAAGGTGTCATTACGTTGTGTTTTTAGTTGCAATCAAGTGTTTGTGTCTCTGAGTCTTTGTCGCTCATCTCATTAAGCTTTTAACTATCAGTCCAGGTCTCAGTGGCTCTAAGGTACATTTTGGTTGTGTTTAGCTGTTACAAGATATATCGATAAGAAACACTTTTAAAGAAAATGTAATGTTCCACACCTGACACTAGGCTAGATGATCTATGCATCACATTCCAGATAATGAGGGGAGAATCTCTTTAACGTGAGTAGAGGAGCCAAACAAGAGAAGATAGACACATCAAAGGGTGTTAAAAAAAGAAAGAAAACCAAAACAACAAGGAGTTTGGTCTGCTTGTTTACAGACTACAGGAAATGGGGTCTTTGCAATAAGACTAGATCATAATTGTTCCCTAAGCCCTTGTTTACTCCCTTATGTTCAACTTAATCCTGATTCACTTTGCTTTGTCCTATAACTGTGAACTAGAGAAAATGAACTGGTAGTGTTTCTTATGAAGCGAATATGTGAAAGAAAATAAGAAAAAGAAAGAAGAATACTCAGTGAGCAGTAAAACTGAAATATGTTGCGATCCAGCCCTGCAGTACATATCCCTAGAACATTATATCTCCATAGCTGTATGGTTAGTAACTAAAACATGATCAGTGTTTCTTCAGGCGTTACAAATATGAAATTCCTGTCGAAGCCTTCTTCTATTCTGCTGCTGCTGCTGTCAGTATCCCCACTTGCCCTGGATTAAGGCCTCTGCAAAGTGTGTACAGTAATAATTCTATGTTACTCCTCTAATGCGATTAAGTGGAATCATCTTAATGATGCCATGAGGAGAAGCTTTGACAGGACAACAGAGAGAAAGCTAGGATGACACTCACCTTTAAATCTCAGACTTATGTGCAGACTGCTTATTATTTATTTTTCGTTCTGCTATTGTTATTCTGTATAAACGTTGGCCTGATTGAGGTGATACTAACCTTAATGTCTCTGCATGTCGGAAGCCTTGCCAGCATTTGTAACACACACATATTTAAATTGCACACTCATGGTGCACTTAACACACTAACCACATACTAAAAAGCTTCTGTTGCTACACATGCTAGTGGGATGTCCATGTAGGTGTTTAAGTTTTGATGCTGATGAGAGTGGAAGATTGTGTTTGCTATTCTCGGAGACCGGCAGCAACAGAGCCCAGGCTTAAATCTTAAATGATTGCTCGGCGAGTCATTATTTTTATAAATAGTTCTCTTTCTGCGGGAAGTGGAGCAACTCCAAAAGCCATTTCAGCTGTTTCCATCAGATTCTCCGCAGGCCAGCACTCTCCTCTATTATTCAGACCTTTTTTTTTTTTAAAGAAATGGGCCAAGCCCTAGCGCATCAGGCCTGCACCTGCATTGCACTTCACATGCAGCACTGCCTGCTGCGTATACTGCATAACTGATAAGAAACTAAAAATAGACATTACACAATGCTACATCAATACATGTAGGTGTAGTTTGCTAATGTATGCGAAATATAAGTGTGTGTGTGTGTGTGTGTGTGTGTGTGTGTGTGTGTGTGTGTGTGTGTGTGTGTGTGTGCGCGTGTGTGCGCGTGTGTGTGTATACACTAAGCTTTATAGTTGCAGTTGTGTAATTGCTCGTAATATGTGAATGATATAAAGTATAGAGCTCCCTATAAAGGATATTCTGCATAGTCTTCAGTCATGGCTGATGGATTTATCTCTCGGCTATTCCCTTTTTGTTTTGATATGTATCAGGCTGGGTGGGAATGTGCAGGTATTGTTAGGAACATCCACATCTCCATCCCCATCTAAGAAGGAGGACATTTTAATTTCCGCAGGCAGAGGAAATGTGCGGCAGACACCAAGGCTGCTAGTATCTCACTACCCCAAATATAATGTTTTGGAGTGTGTGAGCATTCTAATCTGATATGAGGTTATGAGCAGTGCCTGCCTCTAACATCAGTCTGTCTGTGGAAACTGCTATAGAGAAAAAAGAGAGGGGTAAAAAAGCCCCCCCTTGTGGCGAAAAGTATAAATGACATGCCTTTTTCTTTTGTCCCTTATGTTTGTCTGTGTGTCAATACATTCAATTATTTAGCATGATGCCACTCTGTATGGGGCAGTCTATTGACTGGTATTGTTATTGAGTTTTCTGTGTTAGTATTGATCCACAGAAAGCTGATCCTGTCCCATTTTTCGTGCTGATTAAAGCCAACACAACCTATTCTCTCCCCCTCAGTGAACAGTTTGATTGTCAAATCTAGGTTATCCATGCCTGACTATGAAGCTAGATTTATTCTTAATCCCATGAAAAAAATAGTTTGGTTCAGCCTGTCTCTGTGCTTGACTGGGAATAAGAGATTGAGATAGAGAGAGAGAGAATAGAAGAGAAAGAGAGTAGCGAGGGGGACCTTATATTAAATGTTTGTAACAATGTGGAACATGTATGCACTTTAGACAAATGTAACGCGTATATTTGGTTATGATTAGCTCAAAGTATATACCCTGTCCTTGGCATATGTGCTCACAAAGATGGGTGCGGTGTAGGGGGGTGCAGGGAGGGGCGCTGACGGCTGCATCTGCGTCACCATGGATACAATAGGGGGGGTAGTGAATCTATTACGGGTACACCCTGTGAAAGCAGAGATCCATCAGACACTGCCTTTGTCTCCAGGCACAATGTTGAGCCAATCAGAGTGTCCATTACAGTCACATTGATTCTAGCTGACCAATCAGATTCCCATGCTAGCTTTGCTGCTTCCAAAGCCTGTTTTACATCCTGTTTTATTGACATTTTTGATTAATGGTCTACTGTTGCAAAGTAAACCTTGAAAGTACCCCTGCTTCTACATGCTTTTAGCTATATTTGATGATTTTAAAATAAATATATATGAGATACATTTGGACATTTTAAGTTATGTACAATTCATGGACACATAGTTTCTCTTTTTGTTTATCTCTTTTACCATTACCATGTCACACTCACACCTCTTGTATACACAGAAATATATGAACACCACACAAACCCTGAGGATTCCTTCCTGCAGTTAAACTCTATATAGATGCTTTCCATGAATGACTATATTCATTGTTATAAGTTTATTAACTCACCCTGTCTGTTTAATTTGTGTAACAACTGAAATTGTAATAGCAGGATTTTAAAATGATGTTTATATATTATTTCTAAATTCAACGTTTATATTGTGGAAACACATTGAGGCAGTAACCTCATTTTCAATAAAGCTGAAATCATTTTTAATCCAAGACTGAAAAGAGCACAACAAAATGTGAATTCTAAGACGAAATGGAGGTAATAAATTAAACAAAAAAGGTAAATAATTACATAAATGAATAAGCGTATTGTAAGCAATGGCTACCGTTTGAAAGAGAGGCAACAAAACAACATACATGGTAACAGTCCATCAACTTGTGAAGAAACAAACAAAGGGTTGTTTAGAAAATGTATAAACAATATTAGGCCTGTGTGCCGAGTTAAAATGTAAATATCTCCTTCATTAAGCGGTGACAGCTCATCAAATAGAACCTCAACAACACGCTGTTTCTCGTCTGTTATTTTACAGTAGAGTAACTCATTATGTGATTTGTGGGCATTGTGCCATTACTTTCCAAATGAGTGAACACTATGTTGGTGTGCCTCAAGTTTTATCTCTAGGGTATGTGCACGTGTGTGTGTGTTTGGGCAAGCTCCATATTGCTGTGTCCTGGTTTTCATTTTGTTCCGGCTCATGTTTCCCTGGACCCGCCCCTGTCCTACTTACTCCAGAAACCAGTGCAGTTGCAGATTTGGAAGTAAATGATTAAGTGATAGTTGGATTAAATACTAGGAGTGATTTATCGTCCCCAATCTCCCTTTCTCTCTCCCTTTCTCTCTCTGTCTTTGTATCATTGCTGATGTTCAGGTGTTAACCTCTGGCATCTGGTCACGTATAGCTGTTGGTGTGCATGCCAGTGTGAGTCTAGTGGTCTAGTAGAGTACTATTTGTGTGGGGTTCATACAAAGTCATAAAAAAGCACATTTCTAAAATCAAATGCTGCATGAGTCGTATCGTATCACAGCTGTTTATCAGAGAGTCGCCAGAAATAATGCCCCTTTTAAATAAGGCTCTGCACAAAGGAAAAGAAAAACAAAGATTACATCTAGACAAAAAGCATGATATATAAATGGAGGGTTAGTACTGAGTGAAACAGAAACATGCACAGGGAGTAGGTTGCCCCCTTGTGCCGTGATGAGCTCTGCTCCACACAGAAATAGCTAAATGACATCAGTGCCTCGTCACACAAAGCAGGATGTACTGTAGTGTGCAGACTGTAGGAGTGGGGGTGGTCCCCAGAGCCCTGGACCAGAGAGGGTACAGTGGGTTGGGCCTGGCTGGATGCAAAGGTCAGGCTCTCTGTGGGGCTGTGGGGGTGGAACGAGAAGCCGGCGCTGCTGCTAAAGTGAATATGTCATATAGTGAATATGCTACTGCAGTGCTACATTATCAATGCATGAGCAGCACAACTGCAACTATGGACAGCCTGGTATTAGGTGTTTTTGAGAGTGTGTGTGTGTGTGTGTGTGTGTGTGTGTGTGTGTGTGTGTGTGTGTGTGTGTGTGTGCTACTATATACATACGACTATACGTACTACTTAAGGTGCTACTCTATACTTGGACATGTCCTGTAATTCAATTACTCATGCACTGGGAGCTGCAC